GTCTGGTAGTCGGAATCGAAATCGAAATGGAAATGGAGTATGGGGATCATCTGGACTAGCCTGCGACATTGTTACAAAATTTTATGCGTTTTTAAATTAAACGTTATATGCACTAATCCCGAACTAAACTGCGATTTACGGTCCGCGATCCGTGGAAGCGGAGCACAAAAAATTGATTAAAATTTAATGAGGCACAACTGTGTAGGCCATAAATATGCCATCCAAATGGCTTCATTTGCATGGGGATATGTTATGCTGTGGGGACCTGGGATCTGTGTGGAACCGCACCAGATATAATCGTAGAGCGCCAAAACACTTTTCATTTCGACAAAAAATGGCGCACGCCACTTTACTTTTACCATCTCCCTCTGTTCCTTGGTAGTACCCGTCTCTATCGCTCATTTATTGTTTTTGACCCCAAAACAGAGTACACAGAAGAGCAGATGTTTCCATGTTGACCGCATCTAATGGTGCGTGCTACTGCCTTTTTGCTTAGCTCCCTCTCCTTCCCTCCGGATCGTGTTGTTGTGATCATGATCATCATTATCCCAGGGTCCAATGATCATCCAGCTCGAGACCGCAGAAAGACGAGACTGGCAGAGCGAAGTATATATATACATTATATATGTCCACATGGACAAAGCACACTCCTCTGCGAGTAATGATAGTTATCAGCCGTCCGTCTATCGAACCTCGTCTGGATCTCAAAAGTCTTAACTTGGCTCCTTTGGCCCGCGACTACTCATAAAGCAAACCCCTAAGAAAAACAAAGGCAAGCCTTTGAAATTCGAACTTGGAATGCCCTGAAAATCTCGGGTTCCATTTGAAAGAACCACCAAACAGATTTAACTTTTCCGCTTAAGATCAGTTAGATATGAACCATCTATGCGACACAATTTATATATTAGAAGATCAATATAAAGATAATATTGATATTATTTCAAAAAAATACATGGTACTTAAATAAGCAATATCTTATTAAAGTTTATTATGATCTGGTATTTTAAAATTCCTAATAATGGTATCGTTATATAGTTTGTATACAGTGTTTAGTTTATAACTGACACTTGGGAGTGGCTCTACCCCAAAACAGCTGCAAAACCATGGCGTGTTACTATTGCGTTTTCTTTGAACAAGCGTTATGGCCAAGTCAAACTACCCTCAGACCCCAAAGACGGGCCCACAAAAAAGGGAAGCTAAATCTGAAAGCCCCTCGATCCGATCCGATCCGATCCCCTTCTGTTTGATTTGGCATGACGAACTGGGGCTGAACTTTTGGGCCGTGCAAAGTTCAATGCGCCGTTCGCATTTGGTATCTGTATCTTAGTATCTTTATCCACGTCGGCCCTTTGTATCTTCTGGCAGTGACTTTGACTTTGACTGTGACTGTGGCTCCCCTATTTTGTGGCGTCGATACCGAAGATACTGGAAATGCATCTCGGGGCAAAAGAAGCAGGAGCAGCAACCCCTAGCAAATGAGCGTGTGTTTCCATTTTATTTGTGTGGTGTGGTGTGCTGCGCTCGTTTATTTTTCAGCTGCAGCGGAGAAAGAAAGGTAGAAATCGAGGTAGTGAAGTCGGTCGGTTGTCTAAGCCCGTGTGCTTCCCCATCCACCAACTTACCATCCACCTTCCCCATTCCCCAGTGTTTTTCCCTTCGCGATCCCAATTCGTTCGCTTAAATACACCTGCCACGCGTCGCCATAGCCCAGAAATCCAGGGGAGTTTTAGGGGAACGGAGGGAGCGAGTCCTGCGCCTGCTCCTGCATTTAATTAAAATATTAACTACGAAAATGACTGAGCCAAAAGTTGGGGAGAGAGCAACAACTACGACACGCTGGCTGCACTACTCAAAAAGTGGGACTACTTAGAAACCGAACATTTTACAAAGAACCTCCGTGGAATATATCGAAATATATGTGAAATATAATGGAAACATATCAAATATATTTAGAAAACTCGTTTATATTTTATGTCTAAACATGCTAACGTTTAGATACTTAACAAACCCTATCTAAACAAATGTACCTTGACACTTTCTTCTAGAAAAGTTTCAAAAACCACATAGTAAGAATATAAAATGATCAAATATATGGTAAATAATTTTTTAGAGTGGAAAACGAACTCGGCACGTGGAGAGTCTATATATCCCCGACTCTGTCTCTTTCTCTTTTTTCCTGTCGATCTCCTGCTCTCTTCTGCAGGTCCTGGCAACGGGAACTCGTTTCAATTAACATTCAACATTCATTTTTGCATTTCAAGTTTCGTTGGAAAAACGCACGCGTCGCCCCTTCGATCAGGATATATGTATATATAGTATGCAGTGCAGTGCATATATCCTGTATCTCCCCATCCTGCTCACACGCAATTAACGCACGCGCCCTGCTCTCCATCTCGCTCGCACCTTCGAGTCCTTTCCGTTTCCCGTTTTCGCGGCCCGGAACTATGCCTCATATCAAAGTAATTACGCATTTAAATCTTCCAAGCGTTGCAAGTCCGGCCGAAAAAGGATATAAACAAATAAAGTGGCCCGAAAAAGTTGTTTACCGGTCGTCGGGACAACGCCAAGTTTACAGGTTACCACTTTCGGGTTGTTTTTCGGGGGAATTACCACAGGATTACAACTTTAAAACAGTCAGATCTGACTGACAATATCTCTGGAAATGTCATTTAAAATGAAAAAACTTCCTTTGTTTTCTGTGGTTTTTTTTAAATATTTTAAGAAGTCTGCAACATTTATGTATTATGATATAAGACTCAAACTCCAAGAACGTATGATCAACAAGCTTAGATATAGTTCCCTTCTTACGATCACCCAGCTCAGATATAATATCTTCCTCTGCACCAGATCACAAAATCCAAGTGGCTTCTCGAACGTATGATGATCTGACTTTACTATTGATCATTATCCTGGCCAGATCTGCAGACTAGTCAGAAAGAAAAGATTACAGAAAATCAGGTAGAATCCGATAAGATCGCCGGATAATGATCGGGGCCAAAGATCAACTGGCACGAGTGAGATTTACATACATGTGAGCGCATTGGATTTCGCCGGGATTTGACTTTTGACCGATCAAAGGTGCTGAAACAAAAGGAAGAACACACGATCTTGCCGATCCTGGTACTGCCACTTCAGAAAATCAGAAAATCAAAACTATCAATCATTGCGCAAATGCATTCCACTTCAGACTTCAGTCTTTCAGATATCCGCAGACACAATAGATCATCCAGTCCACAAAGGACGCAGGACTTCAACCCTATTCTGGGCATTTCACCAGCATTTCTCCTGGTTTTTCTCGTAGCATTTATCAAAATGCCACAATGGAACCCGGGGAAATGCGAAAATTTGAATAGAAAGTTGGTTTGCCAAAAATTCTGCGACACTCGGGAACAATGAACGTGTTAATGATGCCAAAATAATGGAAACCAACTACCGATCCCGGCATTACAATGCAAAAAAAAATAAAGAGAAAGAGTGGAGATTCCAAACAAAGTGCAGCATGCAAAAAAGGTAATGGAAATTGTCAAAGGATATATGTGCCTAAAATATATATAGAAAGTACACAGAGAAGCGCCGTTTGCTGGTCATGGTTGAAAAGGTTTTTGGCTATTCGGTTTCGGTTTTCGCTTTGGTTTTGGTTTCGGTTTTTGATTTTGATTTTGAATTCGGGTTCTGTGATCCCCGATCTGGGATTTGGCAAATGGAAATGGAGAAGTGCCACTGCCGATGATTTTGGCAAAAGGAAAATGCTGGCTGAGGCAAACAAAGGGAACGAGTTGAGGACAATAAAAATATAACTTACACCTGGCAGTCGATTCTCCCTCTTTTTCGCTGTTTTTCACTCATCGATTGATGATCGTGACAAAATGAAGCGACTTTTGTGAACGGAACGGAAGTTGCAATTCTCAGTCGGCGTTTAGCACGATCGTCAGTGGCTGATGATGACCAGTGCATTGATACAGTGGTCACTCGGAAGTGCCAATTTCCGGATATCCATGGGGGTCCATGCTAAAAGGACTAAAGAAGATGTTGGATGTTACTATCCTTATAATGCCACTTTCTCTAAATACATTCTCTTTTTAAATTACATTTGTAAAAATATAAAATAACAGTAGAATTATAATATAATAGTAATATTATAAGATATATTATTATATTATTGGTAAAACCTATTATAATTACGCTTACTTAAGTTCATTTTTGTAAGAAAATATAAGCATATTTTTAAAATGGTAAGTAGGTTCTACGAAAAATCTTCTAAACTTAGAAACCCAGACCTTACTGTAACCCGCCATCCAAAACGTTTGTCACATCTCGAAAGTCCTCGTTCTGTGGCGTGTTTTGGGTGAAAAAGCCGTGATCCTTTTGATCATTTAATTAGAGGAATATGTGAAATTGTTCGAACACCTTCGCAGGCCTGACTCTGCATGGCTAATAAGGCGGAGCGGTTCGGGATCTCCTGGATGGATCTGGGATCTCTTGGATCCGTCCGGCGCTAATGAATAGGGGCGTGCGTGAGCTGCACATGAAATTGGCGATCGCGACTTTTGCTAAGTTAATTAACACGGAAATCAAATTGCTGGCGCGCCGCAGCGAAAAGAACACTCAGCAATGCAGTTGATCGTTTTTATTTTATTTCCCCTATAGCTTGAGTATTTCTTTTGAGTGGAAATTCGAGTGATTCTTCTTGGATTGGGAACAGTTTTCCTGGGGGACTGTTTTGATACTTGAGTGTACCTGAGAGAAAGACAGAGAGAGATACCGAGGCTACCTGTGGCTCACTCACTTCTCAGCTCACTTTTGCCTACCTGTACAGGTAGGTAGCTCATTCTCTCACGCGCTCTGTCTCTCAGTCTCGCATTTTGCTCCGATTCTCTCGCCGGTTTCTCTGCCTGGCTTTTTGAGCACCTCGGCTCGCAAACTCTCCAGCTTGAAGGGTACATAACGTGAGGGTTTAGGACGAAGGGACTCATTCTTGTGCAAGGTGTCAAACGATCAAGTTCAAGCCTTCTCCTCTCCTCACTATATTATTTTTTTCTGTTGATCGTACTACTCTGGGAAAACTAAAGGAGGAAACAAATAAGCGATCCGAAACTGTGTGTGTTTATGAGCAAAATAATAGTAATCCAACGAAAAGCCTAGCCATGTCATCGAGTGTGCTGACCACGAGCCACGACCTATTCCCCACCACCATCAACACGGCCACGAAGATCTTTCGCTACCAGCACATTATGCCGGCTCCCAGTCCATCGTCGCATCCCGGTGGCAATCAGAATCAACCCGGTGCAGGTGGAATGCCCATCAAGACCCGCAAGTATACGCCCAGGGGCATGGCTCTGGCCAGATCCTCCTCCGATTCGGTATCATCCATATCGCCTGGCTCCTCGCCGGCTCCCTACAATGTGGACCAATCCCAGTCGGTGCAGAGGCGCAACGCTCGGGAGCGGAATCGTGTCAAGCAGGTGAACAACAGCTTCGCCAGACTGCGCCAACATATACCGCAGTCGATCATCTCGGATCTGACCAAGGGCGGTGGTCGAGGACCCCACAAAAAGATCTCCAAGGTGGACACTCTGCGCATTGCCGTCGAGTATATCCGTCGGCTTCAGGATCTGGTGGATGATCTGAATGGAGGACCTAGTAATTCAGTGGCCAGCAATGCCGTCACCCAGCTGCAACTCTGTTTGGACGACGAGTCCAGCAGTCACAGTTCCAGCAGCAGTACTTGCAGCTCTTCGGGGCACACTAACTACTATCAGAACAGCACGACTGCTGCCGGTCACAATCCTCTCCAGCAACAGCAGCAGTTGCAGAGGCAACAGTTCAACCACCAGCCACTGACGGCCATCTCACTGAACAGCAATCTGGTGGCCACATCCCTGCCAGGTGGAAATGGAGCCGCATCTGGAGGAGCCGTCATCAGCGCGAACAACCAGCAAACCTGCCACTCGCCCACTTCCTCCTTCAACTCCAGCATGTCCTTCGATTCCGGCACCTACGAGGCAGCTCCTCAGCAGCTATCCAACCATTTGGATCATCTGGATCACCTCGATACCGAGGGACACACCCACTCGCAACTCCAGCTGAAGTTCGAACCCTACGAACACTTTCAACTGGACGAGGAGGACTGCACGCCCGACGATGAGGAGATTTTGGACTACATTTCTCTGTGGCAGGAGCAGTGAATCCTGATCCTGATCTGAAGATCCTGCCAAAATCCACATCCCACCACACATCCTGTTCTCTTCTAGTCAATGTTGAGTTGAACCAAGTGCCTCAAATTGTAAATAACACTCATGCGAAAAACCACACACACCGACACAATTTTTTTTTCCTACTATAAGCAAATTTTTTTGTATAATTTAAGAACCAAGAGACCAGTATCAAATATATATTTATAAAATAATTATAGCATAAAAACGAAGACAACACTTTTTTGCAAATACAATTATATGTTAATTAGTTGTTGGACGAAGAAATAAAACGGAAAATCATAAGAATTACAAGAATCATGTTTCTTTTTTGCTTTCTGAGAAGGGGAGCCCGCTTATAATCAAGTTGGTAACATATGCGGGTAGCACTTGCACTTTAATTGCAATTTGCAGGGATCCATAAGGTGGCATTATGCGGAGAACCTGAAGACAGGATGTGCGGGCTGTCGATGTTGTTATACGACCGCTAATGAAGATCGCCGGGGCATCAGTTTTATATGATCCCCTTGAAGAGGCCTCCTCGTAAAGCGTTAATACTAATCCAAAATAGTGCTAAGCCCGGATCAGTAGAACTCTGGTCTCAAAGCCCTTTCCCTTTTTGCTCAGGTAGCCAGGGGAAATTCAAATTGCCGCAGGTACGATCAGCTAGACATATATATAATATTTATATATTGTAGTACCCTTCAAATGACACGTGCTACACGTTGAAAAGTTGAGGGAGTTGCGTCGGCAAACCTTATCGCAATTGACTGAGCGCAAACATTTCTGCTATATGCTAATTCAATTGAATTCTGAATTTAGAAGCGGAAATGGGCGGGGCCAGGCCTTGGAACACTTCATTCTAGTGCAGAAATAGCTAGAGCTGTGGCCAAGGTCAAGGTTGGGGGTTTCCCAAAAAGCAGAACCATTAAACCATCAACACAAGTATTTAAATGTCAGTAATTTGGAAGAAATAACTAAAGCAATGGTCCAAAAATGACATGCCAAACCTTGTTCAGCTCGTAGTCAAATTTTAATTAGTTGACATTTAATCCTAGAAATCCTTCAAAAAAAGTGAAAAATTTTGAAAATTTGAAGTTCTTAGAATCAGCACGAAAATGACTGCAATCAATTATCTAGCTTATTAGCTGTCCATAACAGTGCGCCTTTTTGATATCGGTCTAGTTTTGGCCAAGTTACAGCAAAAAAGGATTACAAAAAAAATCGATTTTTTGCCAAAATCTAAAATCCTAATTTTCCGCCCCAAAAATATCAGTTTTTTGGGCGAAACAAAAAAAGTAATGGTCTCAAAACGGAATGTCATACCTTGCCGAACTCGTAATAAAATTCCCAATTAATTTGCATTCACACCTAAAAAATTTTTATGTTGACCAATTTTTGCAAAAAATTGTGATGTCACCCCTTTCAAAAAAAGCGAAAATTTTCGAAAATTTGAAGTTCTTAGAATCAGCACGAAAATGACTGCGATCAATTATCTAGCTTATTAGCTGTCCATAACAGTGCGCCTTTTTGATATCGGTCTAGTTTTGGCCAAGTTACAGCAAAAAAGGATTACGAAAGAAATCGATTTTTTGCCAAAATCTAAAATCCTAATTTTCCGCCCAAAAAATATCAGTATTTTGGGCGAAACAAAAAAAGTAATGGTCTCAAAACGGAATGTCATACCTTGCCGAACTCGTAATAAAATTCCCAATTAATTTGCATTCACACCTAAAAAATTTTTATGTTGACCAATTTTTGCAAAAAATTGTGATGTCACCCCTTTCAAAAAAAGCGAAAATTTTCGAAAATTTGAAGTTCTTAGAATCAGCACGAAAATGACTGCGATCAATTATCTAGCTTATTAGCTGTCCATAACAGTGCGCCTTTTTGATATCGGTCTAGTTTTGGCCAAGTTACAGCAAAAAAGGATTACGAAAAAAATCGATTTTTTGCCAAAATCTAAAATCCTAATTTTCCGCCCAAAAAATATCAGTTTTTTGGGCGAAACAAAAGAAGTAATTGTCTCAAAATAATATGTCATACCTTGCCGAACTCGTAATAAAATTCCCAATCGATTTGCATTCACACCTAAAAAATTTTTATGTTGACCAATTTTTGCAAAAAATTGTGATGTCACCCCTTTCAAAAAAAGTGAAAAATTTCGAAAATTTGAAGTTCTTAGAATCAGCACGAAAATGACTGCGATCAATTATCTAGCTTATTAGCTGTCCATAACAGTGCGCCTTTTTGATATCGGTCTAGTTTTGGCCAAGTTACAGCAAAAACGCATTACGAAAAAAATCTATTTTTTGCCAAAATCTAAAATCCTAATTTTCCGCCCAAAAAATTTCAGTATTTTGGGCGAAACAAAAAAAGTAATGGTCTCAAAACGGAATGTCATACCTTGCCGAACTCGTAATAAAATTCCCAATCAATTTGCATTCACACCTAAAAAATTTTTATGTTGACCAATTTTTGCAAAAAAATTGTGATGTCACCCCTTTCAAAAAAAGCGAAAATTTTTGAAAATTTGAAGTTCTTAGAATCAGCACGAAAATGACTGCGATCAATTATCTAGCTTATTAGCTGTCCATAATAGTGCGCCTTTTTGATATCGGTTTAGTTTTGGCCAAGTTACAGCGAAAAAGGATTACGAAAAAAATCGATTTTTTGCCAAAATCTAAAATCCTAATTTTCCGCCCAAAAAATATCAGTTTTTTGGGCGAAACAAAAGAAGTAATTGTCTCAAAATAATATGTCATACCTTGCCGAACTCGTAATAAAATTCCCAATCGATTTGCATTCACACCTAAAAAATTTTTATGTTGACCAATTTTTGCAAAAAATTGTGATGTCACCCCTTTCAAAAAAAGCGAAAATTTTCGAAAATTTGAAGTTCTTAGAATCAGCACGAAAATGACTGCGATCAATTATCTAGCTTATTAGCTGTCCATAACAGTGCGCCTTTTTGATATCGGTATAGTTTTGGCCAAGTTAAAGCAAAAAAGGATTACGAAAAAAATCGATTTTTTGTCAAAATCTAAGATCCTTATTTAAATCCAAATAATGTCCGTTTTTTGGCCGTACCTTCTTAATTTCGTAATAAAATTAAACAAAACTTACATTTAAATCTATAATATGTAGTTTCTGACAATTTAAAGCATTTTCTTGCAGTCCTGTCATGTGTTATAATTTCCATTTTCCTTCTGAGACCTTCCTCTTGGCATTTCAACCGCTTAACCTTTGTTTCGAGTGTTTTGCCTACAAATTGATGGCTTTATAATATAGTTCTCTGCACCACTTTCCATTTCTGAAAAAAGCAAAAGCCCTTCTCCGCACAATAACAAAATCCTTCGCTCCCACGCACCAAGATGTCAGATCGTTGGAATAAAACCTCTTCTGCTGGCCAGACAATAAATCACTTTGCATTAGAAAAACAAACGCCTGGGAGAGTGCGTCCATAGACTATATTTTGACACATTAAAGGGCATCGCGGACAAAGGATCGCATTGTCCTTGGGATCGCTGGATGCTCCACAAGGAAGTGAAAAGGGACCGGGGATCGGGGATCCTTTCTTTCAATGTCAACGCTGACACTTGACAACTCAATGCAATTGTTTCGGATCATGGAAATGGGTCCTGGGATACCATATTCTGGATTTTCTCTTTTTGAACACTGTAGGCAAGGCTTAACGCTCCTCAGCGCCGGAAGAACTTTCACCTTTCCCCTAGAACCAAAAGAGAGAAGCCACGTTTTTTTCAGCTGCTTTCGGTTTTCTGTTTTCGTTTGTTTTTTTTGGGTCTGAATTAAAACTGCTGTTTAATAGATTTCTCGACGCGCCACGCCAGCAACATTGTGGCACATAAAAAACCAGCCGCCTGCATCAATCAGGCACCAGATATTTGACCAAATTATAGGCTCGTCCAAGGTTTCGAGGACTCAGGACCGCAGATTGATGGCTGGAGTCGCAGTTTTCAGTCGCAGCTTAGCTCATAATTCAGCTCTTTAAGAAGTTGTTACTTGAAACATTTATTTTTACACCTTAGGCGCGATGCAAACGCCCCGATATCCACCAGAAAAAAATAAAGTAAAATAAAGAGGAGAACAACCAACAAGGAAACCCAAACTAAATAATACAACGAAGAATTTGGAAAATGAAAGATCGAAGTTTTATGTACCCTAACATTAATATATATTCAGTAAAGTAATTGTAAGTCTATTGATCTCCACAAAAAAAAACATGATTTTCAGGATCTATAAATGTTTGTTAATAAAAATATTGATAAGAATCAACAAATAAATATATGTATTAATAATTTTTTGGTTCTGTTACAATTTTACAAAGCAACTGGAATTAGTTAATTTGTACTCTTATAAAGATGTATATTGATACTTTTCTAAATTTACCATAGGAATTATATCCTTAAACTCCCCAACCTCTTCAGATTGGTATTATACCACAAAAGTTAGGTCATCGAACAGAACAAGGTAATCAAAACAGCACAGCGTTGCAGGCATCGTTCAGCGTTACCGATTTATTTGAATTTCAATAAGGCCCAAAGTTTTTGGGGTTCATTATCCTGTTATGTCGGCATTTCGGCCTTTCATCTCGCGGCGCACGCAACGCATTTGAACTGGGGCGTTATTAATTAGCGTTATGAATTATTGATGCAGGACCCTCGGGTTAAAATCGCCCACACACTGCCCTTTTCCCCAAAAATATATGTATATCTCAACTTGAGCCTAAACTATTTGGCAAGTGAGGGAATATTTTTACAAATCGCTAGATTTTTAAACACAATTTCTTTTTTTGTAGAAATATAGTTAAGGGATAATAACTTTTTGAAAGTCGAAATAAATATATTAGGTTGCTAAAACACTAAGTTCTCTTGGGAAATTATATATTAAATTTACTATAATATAAAACATTTAAGATGGGCTTTCTACAATAATCCCTCCTAAACTATTGGACACGATATGATATAGGCTTCCCGCCTGATATCTTTATTTTTCGGGGAGAGGATGCATAAATCGCGGAGCAAACGCGCAACGTTCATCATCTGGGGAGCCGAAAGGGGAGAATTATGTTCCAATTAGCGAAGCCAAATGTGACAGGCCGGCCATCCAGAAGAAATCAAGGCAGCGACTCTCGAATCCACCAGGCAAAAGTTATTTGAGTTGTCATATTAGGTTGTGATAAATGTAGTTACATACCAAATGTGATA